CAATCCTCCTGCCTCAGCTTCCTGACTAGCTAGCATTGTAGGCATGAACCATTGCACAGCCATGCAAAACCCTTCAGACATCCAGTAATCTTCAGAAGCTATTGAACTTAACATTGGGCCAGTAACTGAAATACTTGTACACACTGATTCTTGCCCTTTCTTTCTTGTTTACATAACTTTAAAAAAAAAAAAATTTCTTAGATGTTGATGGACCTTTATTTTATTTATTTGTATGTGGTGCTGAGAATCGAACCCAGTGCCTCACACATGCTAGCAAGTTCTCTTCCACTGAGCTACAACTCCAGCCCCCTTGTTTACATAACTTTTAAGAGTATTTTTAAAATTCCTTTTTAATACTTATAGCTATATGGCTATATATCGTAGGTATTACTTATTTTTGCAGTACTGGGGATGGAACCCGGGGCTGTGCTACTACTGAGCTACTGCATCCTAAACCCTTTTTATTTTATTTTGAGACTGAATCTGGCTAATTGCTCAGGCTGGCCTCAAACTTACAATCCACCTGCCTCAGGCTCCCAAGTAGTTGGAATGATAGGTGTGTGCTTCTACGCCTGGCATGTAGTATTTATAGACTTGAATAAACTATCAGCTTCTAACTTTTTAGGCAAGATCTGAGAAGCAAAATTTGATTCATTTCCTATTCTTCAAGGTTAGCTTTAAAAAGGTGGCTTAGTTAAAGCTGTAAGTGCAATAGTAATCAGCTTACAGTTATTTTAATCCTGTGAGACTTACAGGGATGTCACTTAGTTATTTACAGGGCATTCTAGAGCACTACTGCCTTGATTTGTTGATGTGAGTAGAATCTTAAATTATCCTTGAGAGTCACTGTGCTTGAGTGATTTTTAGTATTGTTCCATCTTAAAGTGATTTCTAGAATGTCAGTTCCCTAAGAAATTGTGAGGATTATTAATGGGCATTGAGAAAAACTTGTTTGCAAATGCCTGTTGCTTTGGGGTGTGTGTGTGTGTGTGTGTGTGTGTGTGTGTGTGTGTGTTGTGCAGTTTTGGGTACTGAACCCAGGATCTTACTCATGCTGGGCAAGTGCTCTACCATGCTTTGTTGTTCACACAGAAGTAGCTAATACATGAAATCTGTCACTCATAATAGCTACATACTTCAGAAGAATTTGGGATGAGAACAAATGAATGCTATTAAAGAAATCATACAATAGTGGTTGAAAAATGCCCCTGTGTTAGTAAGCTTTTCATAGCTGAAACAAAACACCTGACAAGAACAACTTAGAGGAAGAAAGATTTATTTTGGCTCATGATTTCAGAGGATTCAGTCTATGTCCATGGTCTGCCAGGTCGTGGTGGAAACATCATGGTGGAATGAAGTAGTTAAGGAAAACTGCTCAGCTCATGGCCACCAGGAAGCACAGAGAGAGGAAGGGCCCTTCCAGGGCACGCCCTAGTGACCTACTTCCTCCAGCCAGGTGACACCTGACATAGTTCATTCAGCCAGCAGTGGATTAATCTTTTTCATGAATGAATCCATTTTGATGGATCAGTTGGATTAGTCAATAGATTAGATCAATCAATTGATTAATTATGCTGGTTAAAAAAACACCGGAATATCTTTACTAGATTTCACTTGTTAACATTTTACCCCATTTATGTTATCTTTTCTATTCATGTATATATGTATGTGTGTATATATGTGGTTTTTGACAGTGACTTTTTAAAACTATTTATTTTCTTTAATTATATAAAACAGCAGAATGCATTTTGATTCCTTGTACACAATTGCAGCACAAGTTTTCATTTCTGTGTACACGATGTAGCATCGTACCATATGTGCAGTCATAGACATTTTTAAAGATTATTTCCAATGTTAGAATTTATTTCCATTTAAATTTAAAATTTATTTTCTATTGTTAGAATTTCTAAAAATTGGGTATCACATCCATGCAATTCTCCTTTCTAAAGTGAACAATTCAATGGCCACTATAACTGTGACTTAATTCCAGAACATTTTCCTCACCCTGAAAGAAACCTGTCACCCTTTTGGAGTACTCCTCATTTCCTCCTTCCCCGATAATCTGTTTTCTTTGGATTTGCTTATTCTGAGCATTTCATACAAATGGCATCAGACAGTATGTGACCTTTTATGTCTTAGATGATGTTTTCAGGGTTCATCCATTTCTAGCATTAATCTGTATTGAGTCTGAGTGCTGAATAGTATTTCATTGTGTGGATCAACAATATGGCTCAGTAATGTGAAGTATCTCCATTCACCATCTGAGAGAGATTTGGGTTGCTTCCCCTTCTGGGGTTTTATGGATGCTGCTGCTAGGAACATCCCAGTCAAGTTTTTGTGTAAATGTGTGCTCAGTTCCCCTGGGTGTACGCTGAGGAGTAGAACTGGTGGGGTCGTGTGGGAAGGGTTTAACTTTTTGTGGAACTACCCACTCTTTATTTTAATATTTTTTAAGTTGTAGATGGACATAATACCTTGGATTTATTTATTTATTTTTATGTGGTGCTGAGGATCGGACCCAGTGCCTCACAGGTGCAAGTGCTCCCCCCTAAGCCACAGCCCCAGACCCCCAGTCATTCTTTTTCTTTCCTGAGACATTTTCCCCGCTCTTTGAAAACACAGGACAGTGATTCTGGGCCAGGGTGGGTGCTTTTCAACTTCAGATGTCTGTCTAGAGGGTGACCGCTGGGGACCTTTAGAGTCTGGCGTGCTGCTCCTGTTTTGACCTGACGTGACCTGACCTGCAGAGTAGTGCTTTTCATCTCTGTCTAGTGGTTTTAGTTTCTTTTTGGTCCCATAGAGAGATCGCTGGTCACTGCAGTTGTTTTAGGAGGTAGGAGTGCTTCCTCATTGGAATATTGTTTACCCTTATCTAATGATTTATGAGGAAAGCGGAATCCATTCAAAAAGTGAAGGTTTTTTTCATCTTTTGAAAAACACTGGAGAAAATGAGACAGAATGTAGCATTAGTCATATTCCTTTAAATGGAAGAAAATGTAAAAATGAGTTTTGTTAGTATAATTAATTGGAATTGGTGGTGGCAAATCCAGATAGCCATGGGAATGAAATTTGTTTAAATGTTATTTTAATATCTGTAGTAATTGCTTGTTCTATCGTACCTGATAGAAAAAGTTCTATTGTACCTGATAGAAAAAGTGGAAAAAAATTGAATTTCTATCTGGTTCAGGCATCTTTAGTCATAGGTAGGAAGATCTTAAATGTCTTCAGAAGCTAAATAAATGAAAATTAAAGATAAGAATTGAGGTAAGGATTGCTGAATTCTGTTAGATAATAGAAAAATTAAGTAACATTTAATCTAGGCTGAAGGCTACAAACAATGACTGTGAGATCAACCTTTCTTGAAGTTATAAAATCATTACTAAACACAATATGTATTAAAGTTATCAAGAAGAATCCAGGGTATCCTGTCTGAAATCTTAAAAATAAAACTTTGATCAGCTAAAATGCTATCACCAAAAATGTCTTGGGATGATATCTAAGTGTTTAAATAAAGGATATGCAACTTCCAACCATGGGGAGATTTAAATTTAAATATAAAAATATTTGCAAGTCAAACTCATGGAATTACTAATTTTATGCTAAAGAGGCAGCACATATTTATTTTATATACTTATAACAGCCTACTAGAGCAATATGTCAGTCTCCTAATTCCATTTCAAAATTTATAATTAAGTAATTGACTTATTGTAGTTTTTAAATAGATTTCTTACCAAATTTGTCTACATTATATGAATATTTACAAAAACTTAAGTCACCATATCTATACATTTAGTTTATTGGATTTATAAAGGTTAAGTACTTGAAAACTTCTGTAAGATAAAGTGAACTTTCTATGTAGAAAGTCTCAGAGTTCCAGTGGAATCAGATATTCTACCTGATTCTCGGTTGGTTGCTGGACACGGTGGGTACCGTGTTCTTGGGTGTCTGATGGTTTTTCTGCATGTGGAATGTTGGACTTGATTCTCATGTGCAGCCATTTGTGAACTAGCTGAAGCTTGCTAAGCCTGATTTAAAGTTACTTTGAGGCAGGTCCATAGCAGACTTTATTCTAGGGCTAGTCCTACTAGAAGGATGTGACCTTTTTCAGGTCTCTGCTGAAAGCTCTCAGTGTTCAAAGAGACCTCTCCTCTCTTGGGGGTTAGATCTTGAATGACTTCCAGACCTTTGTGAACTCTGGGAAATCTTCAGTTTACAATTGCCTGGTGGTTCTTGGCCAGCCTTGGCGCTCACCCCGAGTGAACATGGCTCACCGCTCGGTTCTCAAGCTTGCTCTGACAGCTGCCTCTTCTGTGGATTCTGCCTTGTCCATTCCTGCTGCTTTAGCAGCGCTCTGCCAGAGTTCTCCCTCCCGGTGCTGTGGTCTGTATGTGTTGGGGTTCTTGGAGTGCTCATCTCTTGTCTTCCCCTTCCCTCAGGAATCCTGGTCTGGTAAGGTCCGTTGTCAAGTGCCTGAGAACAGTGCACACGCATATTTTAGACATTTAAGAAAGCACATTTAAAATTTTGTTTAGAGATGGCATAAATCATGAGCACCAAACAGGACAAATGGCCAGATCCAAAGTCAATGAAGTAGAGAGGTTTTCTCTATATGTAGATAAGTCCAAGGATGGGGAGGGAATGAATAATTGTGATCAAGTGAGATTCTTCACAGACAAGGGTAACAAAGTCTTGGTAATCTGCTAAACGTTAATCTTTTATTGTTGTTCTTGTAATCCTTAGATGTATTATTGCTGTTCTCATGTATGTCACACAGCTGTTTTGTGATAAACATTTGTGAATCGAAGTGTTAGTTTTCTGTTACATAATTAAATTTTAAAATTTTGCCTACAGTTCTATTTTTTTGCAAGTTTATAGAACATGTAAGGCATGTCGATATGTTTGCTTGCGTCGCATCTTCTAGTAAACTCATACTCTCGATAATTTGTATTTGCTACTGAGAGAGAAGACAAATTGAAATGTCTCTTTTTTCTTAATTTTAGAGACCTATTACTACGTTTCTCCACTAGTTGGTGCCTTTTTCTTGGCCCTAACTCCTATCTGGATTATAATAGCTGCCAAACATCCAGCTACGAGGACAGTTCTACACTCAGGCTGGGAGCCCGTCATCACGGCGATGGTGATAAGTAGGTTAGTGCTAAAGTGTGTGTGTATGTGTGTGCATATTTCAAAATGGCCTGTTTTTATTTCTTGGATTAATCATTTTATATAGCCATTTCATAATTCTCTCAGGTAATAAGGGAAGTTACAGAAGTTATTGAAATCAGTAGATGTGCTGAAACTATCGGCCATGAATTTCAAACTTCTCTTCAACAAGAGCCTTACTGGATGGATAAATAAAATTGTGTGTGTGTATGTTTGTATTTAACCCAACAAATACATTACTTATTTTTTTAAATATGTATTTTTAAGTTTCTGATGACCTTTATCTATTTATTTCTTTATTTATATGTGGTGCTGAGACTCAAATCCAGTGCCTCACACATGCCAGGCAAGTGCACTACGGCTGAGCCCCAGCCCCAGCCCCAGCCCAAGACATTACTTACTTTGAATAGTAAGTTGCAAGTGTCAGAAAGCCTTGGAAATGTACATGCCATTTGACTCATCCAGGATTCTGACAGACTTAAAAATATAATTGAAGATATATGCAAAAGATATAATTGCAAACATTCTCATCACAGTGGAATTTTTAATAAGAAAAAATTTAACAACTTTAAGCTCTAGCATCCAGATATCGATTAAATAAACTGTAGTATAGTCATAAAATAGAATATTAGCCATTAAAAAGAACATTATAGAAATACTAGAGAGTAACTTAGAAAAGAGTATGGATTTCCTATAAACATGGTAAATTAAGACACATTTGTCTTTTTCTTCCCTGAAACTACTAAGATGACGAAAAACAAAAATGCTGTGAGACCATGGAGACAAAGGGGAACTCAGAGAGGGTAGCAGGTGAGATTCTCCAAACATTGAAAGATAGAAATCAGAGGAATCGTGGGTAACAAACAGGCAGAAAGGAAACAGCTGGAAGTAGGCCATCTTTTAGGAGCAAACTGGTGGGACTCTCAGAAACCCAGGGAGGCGGAGGACATAGAGGCATCGGTTCTCCTGAAAGCTGGAGTGAAGGTCGGGGGAAAGCGTAGGGAACAGTTAGACCCCAGGCTGAATGCCGCCTCCCCCTTGGCAGAAGGAACCCTGGAGAGGCTACGTCAGAGAGGCTCCAGGTGCCAGGACGCCTGCGCAGGTGAGGAGCGGATCAAGCACTGTCTGGAAGAGAGGAAGAGGAGGGGAAGGTCCACGGGGACTGGAGAGAGTCACCCACTTCCTTTTCTCTGTTCATAAAATCCTGGTGATGAGGCTATGCCTCCAGGCCCAAAGAAAAAAAGTTAATTATTTCTGAGGAAACTTATCAGCACAAAAGAAAATACCTGCAGATACTGACCCTTATTGTCCCTGTGGTGGAAGGGCTGCAAGGCCACATGGTGATAGACTGCCCATGTCTCCAGAGCTACACGAACACTGTGCGGGGCCCTGAGGGAGCAGCAGGCAGGAAGCATGGCCAGGCATGTGGTGAAGGCCTCCAGTATGCAAAACCGACTAACATAGGTATTCAAAGAAGGGCAAGAGCTCATCAAAAAACCATCATCGTGTCCTCAGACTAAGACATGCTGTGACATCCAGAATGTCAGAACCGACTATTAGGGGGAAAAAAAAAAAGAGGCAGGAAGCACTCCTGCCTCCAGAAGCAGATGAACTCTCCTGGACAGTAGAGAGCAAAGAGGTGGACAATAGGAGGCAAATGATAAGGAGAGAAAATTACCTGGAACCTGGTTTCCAAATTGAAAGGGCCATCTAGTGCGCATGTTGTCATAAATCACAAGTTCCAGAAAAAGGAAGTTACACATAAAGGTCTGGGTATTGTTATGCCAGATTCGTGGGACCCCAGTAGACCTCCAGGAGCGGAATCTGATGCAATCACACAAGAGTCTTTATTGCAAGCTCCAGCCTGGACTCACAACCGTTTCCAATGCAGCGGTCCCAGGGAGTGAGTCCCGATCCTTTGTTCAGGGAGATTTTATAGGTTTGGGGGGATACTCTATGCGTCACAAAATCACACAGCGGGAAAATCAAACAACGACTCTTAACATTGATTAGCACATTCACCGGCAGGAACAAGTTGGGTAGGGGTGATTGGCTAGTACAAGAGGGGGATTCGTTTGAACTGATTGGTTTAGGCCACGAGGGGTGTACTTGCTGAACTACATGGTTTCCCAACATGTTATCAACCACCATAAACTACTTGGGGGTCATCTGGCATCCCCAGGTATTTTCCCTGTCTTATGCTGATTGGAGGTTGCTAGGGGGGTTGCTGTGGGCCCTCACCTAGCCTAACTGAGTCAGGGATATCTGGCGGCCCCAGACCGCTCCTATTATTTACAGACAAACAACTCAGCAGGGTGGGTATGTACTTAGGAGTCCTCTGTCGGTTTTTCCAAGGACAAGGTCACACCCCCTTCCTTAGGACAGGCCTTGAGGTAGAAGCTGCTGTTATTCATTTTTAAAAATAGAATCACATTAGTTTCTCAGTATCAATATGACATCTAATAGCAACGCCAGAAATGATTTCTTCAAAATTCCAAGGGTTAATTATTTTGGACATAAAACAGTCACAGTATCAAATAAGAGAATGTCCACAGAGCTACACGAACAAATAAAAATAAAAAAAATAAAAAGAAAATTCCGGACAGGCAGGATCTCATAGAATTTAGTTCCCATATGCCCTTTCTGTTTAAGCTGATAAACAGAGTCATCTATCAACGTGAGGAAATAAATCAAGAAAGAACACAAGAACAAGGAGTTCCATTCTGTGACACTGTGTGGTTCCTTTTTCTGTAATGTAGATTGCTTTTTCCAGTGAAATTTTGGAACTTGGTGGTGGTAATAGAACAAGAGGCACGTGAAGGCCCAGCCTGGCAGCAGCTGTGCCTGAGATCTGGTGGCCCATGCAGTTGTCAGGAGGGGAGTGGGCATGAGAGGAGATGTCTCTAAGAATTGAGAATCATGGAATTGATTGGATGCCTGACATGTTGATGTATTTAGAGGTATTTCATTGACTTTGCTGCACATTTGAGGCTGAATTAGTAATACATCAGGCAAAGCAAAAGTACATGTGAGGATGTTTTGTACACTAGGCTATGAATAATGATTCCATTGTTATAATAAAATCGACCCTAAATACTTCACCCAAATTATAACATAGCCACATCGGCAGGATGAAGGAGGAAGGGATTTGTGAAAGCTCCAAAGTAGGGAGAGATTATAAGAGGCTAAATCCTCATCTGCCAGAGCAGGAAGTCATTAGAGAAATGTCTAGAATTAAAAATGAGAAATACAAGCTGGAGCATGTTATTTAGAAACCGAATTAAATGCCAGGAGAAACGGCTAAAGAAGTTAAAAAGAACTCCCAGTAGAGGAAAGGATCTGGGCTATGATTTTATTATAAAGCTTTGTGGTCCTTTCAGTTTTCCAATAATGTACCTTTGTTTGATAAAAATAAAATTTAACAGAAACAAAACTTTCACAATTTGATCTAATTTTTATTTTTAAAAATATACATTAAAATGTTTGGGGTGGGGTTGGGGAGATTTGGGTGCAAATATTCATATTTTTTGTTAGGTCTACTGTATAGCATGGTGGCCAGAGTTGATAAGAATGTATTGTATTTTTCAAAGTATGTGATTGTTATGTGACATTTTGCCATGTTAATTGACTTTGACTCAGCCATTCCACAATGCATACATATTTAAAACATCATTTTGTACAGCATAAATACATGCAATTTTTACTTGTCAATTTAAATAAATAATTAAATAATAAATATATAAATAAAAATATATGCAAAGCTATATACCAACATGCTAACAGTATAACTCTGAATGATATATCTAAGATTGGTTTTTATTTTCTTTTTGTTTGTATTTTCTAAAATTTTTTTAGTAAGTTTCATTACCTGGGTAGCAAAACTATTTAGAAATGTTCATGTCATATTTACATTATGAGCTTTGCATTTTGACAGGGAGATTTATTCTTTGACTTATAAGTAGTTGCATAAATACACACATAGTACCAACTATATAATGTATGTTATATATACATAGAGTACATATACATATATATATATGCTATATATAGTATGTGTATGAATGTGTAGTATGTGTTTGTGTATAACACACACACACACACATACACACACACACACATACTCTATGGGCTTAACATACTAAATATTTCTAAGGACTATTTTTAGACCCTCTGGTATCCCTTTCTAATGGAACCTCCACAGTTTAAGCATATCAAGCCAAAATTAATTTATTTTTCAAAAGAATTAAAATAATAAGGAAATGATCGTTTCCTAATGTTAACCATCAGGTAGTGGTAAGACATTTGGTCTGATTTTTTTTGGCATGCTAGGCAATAGAGTGCCGTGGGACTGGCGATGCTTTATAGCACATAGGCCAACAGACTGAAGTTGACCCATTAAGGGTGGCCTTGGCCTCCAAGTCCTATTGAGACATTTGAGTGTCTGGCTCATTGCTTTATTATATTAAAAATAACTTTGGTTTTTTTTTTTAGACTTCTTGGGATCAGTTCTTTCTATGGTTACAACTTATTATTTTAATTTACTGATGATAAGACACGTCTCAGGCATATCTGTTTTCAGCACAATAAAAATCATCCCTTTAAACTGCTTACTTCAAATGTGAAAAGATACTTTTTTTTTTTTTTTTAAAGAGCAGGTTTCACTAAGTTACATAGATTACCTTGAATCTGTGCTCCTCCTGCCTGAGCTTCCCCAGAAGCTAGAATTACAGGAGTACACAGCTGCACCTGGCTCAAATAGATATTTTAAAAAATTATTCTATTCAGAGAGTGGTAGGTGATTTCAAATATTAATAAGCATGGAAGGATATAAAATGCTATTAGTCCACTGTTAGTCTCTCTCCCTAGAAAAGGACATGGTTAATAATTTCTTAATTTAAAGCATGTACTTATTCTTTCAACAAGTGATTTATATGGAGATCAGAGTCCTGAAATTTGGGGCTATAGCTTATGCCATGTTTTATTTCCAACTTTTTACCGTTTTTCCCCACTTTTAAAAATTGGTGCCTAAGAGTTGTACGTACTGACAGGAATTGTTGTTACATGTTCGTATGTGCCCACAGTACACAATTCCAACTTTTTACTATTGATATTGATTTATATTTTGAATATTTTTATTCTGTTTTTAATGTATGTAAGCATTTTATACTACAAAGTGTCTGTAGGTACAGAACAACTTCAAGTTCCTTTTTCTTCCTCTTTCATAAATTATGTGATTTTATTTCTTTCAGCATTGGGGGCCTTATTCTGGACACAACTGTATCTGACCCAAACTTGGTTGGGATTGTTGTTTACACTCCAGTTATTAATGGTAAGAATTATATGTGCTGTTTTGTGATGATATCAAATCTTTATATATTCTTAGGTGCTAAAGGAGTCTCACATTTTAGGAGATCTATCGTCCCATTCTTTCCACCAACTCCAAGTTGTTATTCAGAAGGGAAATTACCTTCCCTAGTCTCAGAATGTAGGACACATTTTTAGGATGAACTGTTTTTTAATTGAGATATAGGTTTGCTAGGCGTACCTGACTTGAAGTCTAGTATGGCCTTGGGCCTGTTTGCTAACATGTTATTTTGTTGCTGCTTTTGCCAGTGGGCCTGGGTGGATTAGAATTAGCAAGGTTTAACTATTGCCTGAGTCAATTCAGTTCATTAAAATCTGTCACTCCTTTGCTGATCCCTTTAAAATCTACCTTGTGTTTTTTCTTATCTGTGAAACAGGAATATAATACTTACATTACAGAGACTTTTTTAATGAATTGCACTTAATAAGATCATTTTAATCCAATCCTACTGGCTTTGGGGATGGCTGTCATTAAATTGGATTTTAAGGGTAGCCTAGACCAATATAATTTAAAAAGTAATTCTACCTGAGGAATAACACATCACAGGATATATTACACATTCAATATAAATTACTTTTCTATATTTATGTAAAATAAAATGTCATACAAAGGCAAGTTCTCCAAAATTCTAATCAAGTTTCTACTGATCATACTAATCTTTGTCTGCCTTATAGTGTCCCACACCCCCATCCTTAAAAGCATCAAGCTGGCTCTTCTCTCTGACCAGGAAATGGCCAGGCATTGTTTATTGGCCCCTTAACAAGACTTCTTCATCCGTTGGTTTATTTACATAACAAGCGCCTCTCCCCACTGTAGGTAAGGTCTCCCTGAAGCCATCCACTAGAGTGATGAGTAGCCTTCTTGACTCACTCCCTGTACCCTGCAAATTAAATGTCACTAAAAGACTGATCTTCCTTAAACTTTGTTTTTATTACATCAGTCATGAGATGAGCTTAGCAGTGGTTTTCTCCTGTGTTTCAAGTCACGATCGACTTCGCCTGGCCTGGCCAGCGTCCAGACCCTTCTTCTGCTCTTGGACTCGGTGTTTGTTCCCAAAGGACACACACAACTTCTTCTGTTATCATTCTGACTAGATTCATGTATTGTTCCTGTAAAGGCTGTCTGATTTCCACTGCCTGGAATGACTCCCAATTTCTGTCTATTCAAATTCTCTTCAGTGAATATTAATTGGAAAATTCATTAGCATAAATATTTTCCAATAATGATTGTTAGAGCCAAATTGAACAACATTTCAGTGAGAAATTTAACTTAAATGGCCACAAGGCCTTTATTCACAGGCTTTAATTAGTATTTCCATGATTTCACTTTTACCTAAGAGACTCTCTGGAACGTCAGGAAGGGCCGTCTTTGGAAGTCTGGCCATGATACATGTCGTGGTGATAAAATCCATTTTGTGTCTCAGTGAGGAAACCTCTTAGTTGAGTGTCACACTGAGTTCATCTGACATTAAATTCCACTCATAAAAAATCTTCATAGAGGGCTGGGGTGTGGCTCAGTGGCAGAGCACTTGTCTCACACATGTGAGGCCCGGGTTGGATCCTCAGCACCACATAAAAATAAATAAATAAAATAAAGGTATTGTGTCAACTACAACTAAAAAGTAAATATTAAAAAAAATATCTGCAGAGAAGATTTCCTCCCAATTCCTCAAGTAAGCTGGAGCTTTGGAGAATTGAATTTCCTTTTAAATTTGCTGAGGTGGACTATTTAAGGGACCCCTGTTGTTGTTCTCCTCCTCCTGCTCTTTTTTCATCGTTTGCTATTTAGTGAGCCCCAGGAACTCACAGCTCTTTTATGGATACTACATTATCATTTAATCTTCACAAGAAGTAAATTGCCCGATGCCTCGTTGCCTCGTTGCCTCGTATCCAGTAAGTGGTGAGTCAGGGTTTAAACCCAGAGCTGCTTGGTCCCTAAACCTGTGTTTCCCCGGCCCCCCACCCCTGAAATTGTACAGCTATTAATTACTTCTTTTCTCAGGTACACAAATACATTGTTTAAACTTTATCTGAATTGATACTGTGATTAGAATATCTCCCGGGACTTACCAGCATCTCTCTAATTATTAGCGTTTTCCAAGTACATTTTGTGGTAACACTAGTTTCTGTGAGTATAACTTGGAAAGGGAGTTCTGTGGTCAGTTTGGTAAACATTAGGTTAAACAGATTTTTCTACTACAGGATTCTTATAGTCTTTATTTTAAAATATCATTTTTGTAAATCTCTGCTTTGGGTACTTCTGCCAGCTCGGGATTAGAATTTCTGGATCCAGCTTTCCTACAGGCCACTTTGGGAACCACTGACCTATGGCTGATGGCCTGCTGTATTTTATCTGTTCAAACAGAAATATACTACTTTACATTTCAGAGAAGAGACCTCGGTCAGGACACGTGAATCGCCACTCTTTCTTGTGTTCTTTTTGGCATACATTCTACGTTGTTATAAATCCTGTAATACATTGTGATTGTGCTTTTAAGAGTTTTTTAAGAAGATAAAGGAGAAGGTGCTATCTTCTGTATTCTCGTGAGGCTGACATGTGCCGCACTCCTCTCTCCTGTGCGCATCCATCGGCACCGGGGACCTTCCATTTGCTGGGCCAGTGCCTTCCGTGTTTCTGGAGGGCAGTCTGCGGAGGAGAGAGGCTGTCGGCGCTCGTCTTTCCTTTCTCTCCACCTCTGCTCTTGCCTTTACCACTGTCTGTTAACCCTCTTTGGCCAGTCTCGGAGGAGGGGCTGGCTCTGTCCAAGAGTGACAGGTGCACCTGTGCCACTGCAGCTCCGTGGGACCCGCCCTCCACCCGTTATTGTACTCTCCCCTGCCTTCCTCTGTCCATCTTTTCCCTTTGCCTGCGCGTGTGATCAGGTGGCTCCCCATGCCCCTGCCATTCTCGGAGAAGTCCCTTTTATTTCCTTTCACTGGTTTCCGCTTTCTACCTGCCTCTTTTTTAAAAAAATATTTATTTTTTAGTTGTAGTTGGACATAATACCTTAATTAATTTATTTTTACATGGTGCTGAGGATCAAACTCAGGGCCCCACATGTGCAGGGCGAACGCTCTACGGCTGAGCCACAACCCCAGCCCATTTCCATCTGCCTCTTAATTGTTTATATTCTTTAAGACTCTTTTCTCTGGATCATCCTCTATTCTGTCTTCACCTTTTTTTTTTGCACCAGGGATTGACCCCAGGGGCACTTAAACTCTCAGCCCTTTTTATTTTTATTTTGAGACAGCGTTTTGCTACTGCACCTGGCTCTCTTCACCGTTTTTGTGAGTGATTTTGTCTAGACCAGAGATTTTCAAAGTGTGGCCCCTGGGATCTAAGAAGGGCAGATTCTCAAGCCTGATGAGGGAGCTCTGAGGTAGAACCCCTCAGCCGATTCTGATAACATATAAAAGTTTGAGGACCGTGTCTTTGTCATGTGGCTTTAGTACTTTATCTCTAGCCCTGAAACATGTTCACTTCGAGACTCACACTTTAAATTAGATGCTTTCATATGAAAGACTGTTATAGCTCCTTAGTGAACTCCCCGTCTCCCCTACACCCACTCTTCCTCTCTGCTTCTGGTATTTCCATCTCCCTGTATCCCAAGCAAAATGCCACACGCTCCTCCTCCATACTCTGCTTTTATGGGCTCTTGAAATACCTTCTGAATGAGTCTCCATGTTCTGTCTGTCGTCCTTTTGTTCAGTGTCTTTCCTGGGTGCAGCTGCACAGTGCCTCCCTGCTCCCTCTCTCTTGCCCAGTTTAACCTGTTGTCCGCGTCTGCTGTAAGTTACCTTCCCCCAAAACCTGCTTTTGGCCCTTATTCAGAGCACAGATAGTTTTCTGTTTCCTAGAGGATAAAGTACTCAGTGTCACAACATACTGGGCCAATGTGCCCTGCCTCAGCCTCCCGGCTCCCTTCCCTGCCACACCACACACCGCAAAACTCGCATCTCCTTGATGAACTGAACACAGCCTGTTGTCCCTGGGTGCCAGGCCTGTGTACTTCCTGATCTTATTCTCCCCTGGGAAGTTCTGCTCATTTATCCAGATGCAATTAAAATGTCACATCTTCTGCAAACTAGATACTTATCATTGGTAGCTCTCTCTTTTCTTCGCTTCCACAGTATGCTTTTAGCAATTTTATTGCATTATGTATTTATTTTGAATGATAATTTTCTTTTTGTATAACTCTCTGCATAATGCCTACCATGTTGAGGTTTGGTAATTGTTGGAGGAGTAAGTGCATAAGTTAAGGAGTATGCTTAGTCTTGCTACAGACTCTTATGTCACTGAATCGGGAAATTTTCTTGTTAAATAACACAACTTAGAACAGAAACAAAAATTTTCATATATTTTAGTGGGAAGTGATGAGGTGCAATCAAAGAAGCAGAAATAGAAAGATGCTTCCTCCAGCTTGAATGAAAAATTAGCAATGATAGTGACTCTTATTACTTAATTTCTCCTGTTTAACTAGAAAAATTAGTTTAATACTGGTTTCTTAACATTTCCTCCTAGTTGGTCTGTTCCTTAAGCTCTGGAGATAGGAGTAAATATTTAGATAGGAGCTTTTTTAGTCCATTAAGTCCCAAGTTTCAGTTCTATGACTATTTCAAGAAAACTGACCCAGATGCATTAAAATAGATTGGAAATCATATTCTAGAACTTATATATCCTTTGCATCTTAAATATGTAAATATATATCTCAAACCCTCTAATCATTCAACTATTACTTTTCTCAAAAGAGTAGCACTCTAGAAACATAATATTTATTTTTCAACGTTTCCATAAGTTGTGTATTTGTTGCTCAATTTACATTTTTATAGGTGTCGCACATCTGGGACAATAGGACTTAACAGATTTTTTTTAAAAAGTTAAAGAACAAGGAATAAGTATTTCATAGGCAGAAGATGAAAGAGTTGAGCTAGAACTCATTGTTGGGAGGAAGACAGCTGTAATGTAGCCCAGAAGGATGACTCCAGGGGGACCATTTGTTCAATCATTAGGAAGTCATTTGAGAGCTCAGTTTAGTTGAATAGCAGGCTAAATAAATGCGGGTGTAGTCTTACAATAGAATACTATTAACAATAAAAGTGAATGAATTACACCTCACCCAAGAGCAAGGATGAATCCTATGAACTTAATATATGATAAATTATTCCATTTACATAAAGTTCAGAAGCATGTAAAACTAACTATGCCTTGCTGAGGGGCGTGCACGTGATGTGGTAGTCGTGTGAGAAAAGCTAGAGAATGAAAAACAATCAAGGATGATTCCTGCAAGGGGGACACACGGGGTATGTCAACGTCAAGGTGCTGAATTCATTTTCTCATGGGGTGGTGGTGCGGGGTGTTTTGTAGCATGATTCTTTATAGCCTACATATCTACATAAATATTTAGTATAAAACAATTAGAATTTTGGAAGAAGCACTTTTATAGTCCTAACTAAGTGGTTGGCAATGAAAATAAGGGAATTAGAAGTCTGAATGAGGATCTAGAAGACCAAATGAGGACCTTTTCCTAAGATGGGAGAGCTGAGTACGATGTCACTGTGTTTGTGTTTCTGCCAAGGAGCAAGAGAAAAGGGCGGGCAGTGCGTGTGACAGATGCAGAGCAAGGGGGGGCAGGTCTGTGAAATGGGAAGACAGATGCACCTTAATTCAAGGCAAGAAAAGGAGTCCTGCAGATGGACAGGTGGAAATCTAGAGAGAGTGAAGAAGACAGACTGAGCCGAAGGGATCTATGAGTGACGGTATCCATTGTCCCAAAAGAGTAGAGAGATTCATTTCTCTAGGACCGTGTTTCCTGGCTTTTCACTTCACAGCACAAATAGAAAATCATATTACTTGGATGACACTGTGAGGAGGACGGCCAGGTGTGGCCATGCTGAAAGCACACAGGGTCAGATTTGCAGCAACTGAGCCCTGGGGCCACCCAGTCTGTATCCAGCTGTGAACAGATGTGTGGGGAGGGAAGCCGTAGGTGGGGCACTTGGGAGGAGAGCACACTGCAGAAGGGTCTTCACCAGGATGAGGTTCTATGTATTTCTTCTGAAAAATGTGAAAAGGTGGACGACATGTCTGCCGAGCCCTTTGCATTTCTGAGCCCTTTGCATTTCTTGAATCTGAAAGCAGTTGACCCACAGGGGCTTTGATGGGGGCTTTTAGAAGTGTGCGGGCTGCGGTGTGGAGGGGCGTGAAGGGTCCAGCTCTGTCCAGGGGTCGCTTACGAGGACTGACTTTTTGAGAAGATGAACTTTTATTTTGGGTTCCTTTGAGAATGTGTAAGAGAATTCTTGACAGAATTTGAAATGTATTCCATGATGTGAGTGCTAAACATTTACTGGAAACATATATTGCTAAATTTAACAAAAACATAAATTTGAATTTTAAAGCCGTCCCTAGATGAACCTGCTGATAATTTCTTCCTGTGTTTTCATTATCAGTGGGGCTTATTCTAGCATAAGATCTCTAAAATTAGATCCCGTGGATTCTGAAGCATCTCACTAATTATTTAGTATATTGACAAGCTGTTTTTTACTAATGTTTTTAATTTATGTGAGACTATCTTTAGAAGCTCTCTGCTAGCTTTAATAATGCAATTAGTCTCTGAAGAATTTAAATAATTTAAAAGAAATGCTAATAACAAACTCCTAATAGAAACACGGTGTGTATCTTGGTAACAAGAAAGCATTTTTTGACATCAAAGGAAACTATTCCAAGGTAATAATTCTGCAGTAGTTTAAAAATATAAAACAGAGATCATGATGAAGCCATAAGAGGTTACCTAACCCTTTAATTAGTCTCTTCACTAATTATGTTGTTACTTTAAAATTTTATTCATCTTACCTGGAAAAGTCTTGCTAGTGTCTTTCTGAAGTCTCAGTTCATTTTATTTTTAGTTTGGTGCCATCATAACATTGATTTCCTGGACTATAGCATGAGGCCTCGGGGACACAGGAAGAGGGAGGTGACCGATTGTTTACAAGGGTTTATTTACACTTATTCCCATAAACGTTACCTGGTAACACAGAGATGATAAAAGCAGTTTTAATTTAAAAAGTTCTACCAACAAATTTGTGGGGTTTTTGAAGAGAGTTCCAGGTAATCATTAGTAGCTCTTTGTCTCCAACTCAATCCAAGGGAAGTCTGGCCTGTAGCATCTGCTTCTGCATTGGCATCCCGGCATTCCACAGCTGATAAGTCACCAAATGACTCGTCACCCCTGGGAGAATCCCCAGAGTAGGCCAAGATGAAAGGAACCTGAGATTCATATGTTTTTATGGAAACTCTCTGGCGTTGGACAGTGTCTCTGAAGGCAGTCGCTTGCTGTACATGAGTCTGGTTCTTAACGTTAACTCCTCCTCCTTCCGGGGACTGTGAACAGAAACCCAGGGATGATGACAAGACTGGGTTGTTTTGTTAAGTTGGTTTCTCCCTCATTTACCCCAGCAACACTCTGTGATAAAGTGCTTGTGTTGTGTAGTATAAATACTTTTGCCTCCTTCAGTTTCTAGGGCCTATGAGTTCCCTCTTGGTGAATGAGGAATGAGTTAGGGTCCTTGTTTATGTATTCCATCAGATGAGGACCCATTCATGCCGGTTTTTCAGTGTTCTGTTCTAATTGTTTACTTTAGAAAGTGAGCTCAGATTTAGGAAATCCAGACTTAACAACAGTCATCCCAGACTTCTAGTAGAAAATTCACTGAGTAAACAGAAGGCAATTTAAATGACTATTTAAAATATGGGCACCAAGTGATTTATTCTCTCTCTCTTTTTTTTAAACAAAATAATGTGTGAATTGAAAAGCAACTCGTTTCCTTGGTATACTCTGGCCAATGAGCACTCCTTCAGGTTAGGCGTGAGGTCCTTATAGTTAGGAAAACAGCAGGTCAGAAACATACTATTTATATAAATTGTTTGCTATTGTTATTATCAACATTTGTGGAGTCTTAGCTGGGTCCAGAAATGTGCCAAGCATCTTTGATGTGGCATTATTTTAATTCTCTCAACATCCTTATGAGGTAGGTATAAATTATCTTTATTTTCAGATTTGAAAATGGAGGCGCCAGAGAGGTTAGCTACCACTGAGGTCCTAGTAAGTGGCTTGGGCAGTTTGTAAGCCCAAATCTGTGAGCACTGTCAGAAATCTGCAGAAACAGCTCCACATTTATGTGCCTTATTTGTTCCACCTAGTCTGTGTGATTTTTTAAAAACACATTTATTTTTCTTTAGAAAATTTTTCAGAACCCTGTGGGATGCACTTTTTCAACATTTTCATGATGAACCACATTTTAAAATTATCTTAAGCATTTTCTTTTAATGAGTTTTTTATTTACTAAATGACATGTGCTGAGGAAATTGTGAAGCTACATTTAGTTTAAAATAAGTCATTATAATTTCAGTTTTAAAAATATAACATTTAAATTGCCTTATTTTTGGTGCATTGGCACAGAAAGAGATCACTCTATCCGCTCTACAGGACAATCAGAGCTCTTGCTTTTCCCCTTTCTCTACTTATATTTTTTTCTGTTACTGGACAGCCGTGTTACAATGCAGAACATCACTCGGTAACAGGCAGCATCAAAGTCATATGCTTTGAACAAAATCAGTCAAGCCACGTCTCTGAGCATGACACCTGAGCATGACACCTGGTTAGATTTGTAGGTTGCTAGAGCTGGGTTTCTCCTTAGTAAGTTACCTATTGCTGGGTCCTAAAAATTACCTTCTAAATTAGGAAAGAAGTCATCATCAAGCAATAGCCAGATAATCCAATTAGAAAACCAAACCCATGACAGTCTGACCTCAGTTGTTTGGGGGAGAGACTACCTTGCTTGCAGGTAACTTGGATCCACAGTGGGTGACACTCTTGGGCAGAATCTGGCTGTCCTCAGTCTCTCGGGTGTGATCAAAGCTTTTGGCTTTTGGCACCTAATTCAGACACCCTTAGAACTGTTCTCTAACTCTTCTTGTATAGAAATCCTCCTCTCCAGTGCAGTCATGCACTGCATGATGAGGTCAGCGATGGGCCTCACATCTAATGGCGGGGTAAGTTCGCGTCGCCTGGTCATGCTTCCACAGGCTCATTCTGCATGCGCACCCTCTGTGGTGTCCACACAGCAGTGAAATCGCCTGCCAGTGCATTTCTCAGAATGCATCTCCACTGTAAGCCGCACAGGTCCTGGGAGGCAGGGCTTTCAAATGTTTCCTGTCCCATGTGGTAGGCCAACTCTGCCACCACTTTGGAATTCATATCACATCTTGCAGTCACTTCCTCCGCCTCAGAGTTGGTGAGAGGACCTTTAGGTTAAAAGGGCAAGTTTCTCGAGTCACCCTTTTTGGTGCCTGCTGCCACTGTCTTGGAAAGCTACAAGAAAAGTCCCAAGCTTTGTCTATTTGAATAGATTGAGCTTAGTTTCCTTCTCACTGGGGAGATAAACACGAACATCTTGTTACCTACTTTTACGTCTTGATTGTGATAATGATTTTTAAAAGTTGCCCATTCTATTCTGCTTTTATACCAGACAGATATGAAAAAATAATGAACACATTTTTCTTTCAGTGATTTTGTGATTTTAGAATATCAACCTCAATGTTAAATCAACATTGCAGGAGAACTTTTGGATAAATTGAAGCAATTTTTAAAATTGGCCCACAATGTGACAAAAAGAGGCTTGCTTTTGGCTGAATGTGTGCAAGTCGTTTAAAACAAGAGGCTCACTTCTTTATGTGTTTCCTGTGTTCCAGGTATTGGTGGCAACTTGGTGGCCATCCAGGCCAGCAGGATCTCCACCTACCTCCACTTACACAGCATTCCAGGAGAACTGCCAGATGAACCCAAAGGTTGCTACTACCCATTTAGGACTTTTTTTGGTCCAGGTATGTGCTTGTGGCCTTTTACAGATTTTAGATGAGGAACTACTACTCTCTGAGATGACAGACACCCATGTTGTGTGACTGTTGCATAGCTGTCCCGTCACTGGGACCTGACCTTGGTGAACAGGAAGACATCTGTATCTTTGCTTATGCGTTTTCTCTTTTATTTCTCTCTTTCTGGTATATCTTGTTTATTAGGAAAAAGGAACCTGACAACAACAACAAGGCATTGCTAGGTGCTTTGGGGAGATGGGTGGACTCTTCCTTTGTCCATTTTTTTTGGTCTTTGTAAATGAGGGGAGAGCCTCAGCGATAAGGATCGGTGCATTATTTATTTCAACCAGGCAAGGGACTGTCACAAAAGGGAGACTATATTTTTGAACCTCACTATTCTTGTCACTTCCTTTTCCTAATGAATATAAGTGTGATTTTTGACTTTTGAATAAAGATCAGAAATGCCCACCTTTGTAATACCAGTGATAGAACTCTAGAGGAATATATAAAATCAAAGCATTCAAGAACTTTCTCTTTTGTCTTCCCTGTTTTTATGGTAGATGCTTAAGTATGACTAATGTTCTTCGTTGCAAGTTTTTAGCAACCACCTTTCATTTAATGACATATAACAAATGGTAAAAATTTCAGAGAAATAAGTGAATTGTAAATAATTGAAACTTATTTTAATGCTTGAATTTTATTTGATGTTATGAGATGTAGTAACTAGAAAGTAATCCTCAAATTTTAATAATTCTGAATTATGATTAACCAGAATCTGTTTCTGTTTTAGTGACATTCACATTTTCTGTCGCAGGAGTAAATAACAAGTCTGCCCAGGTGCTCCTGCTTCTGGTGATCCCCGGGCATCTGATCTTCCTCTACACCATCCACCTGATGAAGAGCGGCCACACCTCGCTGACCGTGATCTTCGTAGTTGTGTACCTGCTTGCTGCTGTGTTACAGGTAAGAGCTGAAGCCTCTGGAAGCCTCTTGTGGCTCAGACTGCCCTAGAACAGTGACAGTAACGTTAGAGGCCCGTCCTGGCTCGCCATGTCAAACGGCAGCTGCAGGCTTGGGTTGATGGGATCTGAGGACAGTAAGCTCTCTAATGTCGTCTGTGTGTAGAACCTCGGGGTTTCCTTTCTGTGGATCCCTGTCTTCCCTTTTTGAGTCTGTGGTGTGTATGAACACCTCCCATAGGTTCTTGACAAAGTGCGCACGGGAGTCGGTTTTTTTTAGCGTGTTCCAGGTGCTTGACTCCACTGCCCTCGAGGAGCAGGTGGACTGGATATGGACTTCTGTTTCCTTCAGGATCCTGAAGACTTTGCTTCATCGCCTTTTTCTCTTGCTCTTGATCCCATCATACGTAACTTTTTATCTCCTAGAAGCTTGGAAGAGCTTCTGTTTTTATTTATTATTCTTAAATTTCATGCTGATATATCTGGTATGGGCATATTTTGTCTATTTGACCTTTCAAACTAAAAACTCATGTTCTTCAGTTCTGGGGAAATTTCTTAGATTCTTTGTTGATTTTCTTTCTTCTATCTTCCTGGAATCTTATTTGGTCCTTGTATCTCTTGCACTCAATGTCTTATTCTTTTTTTCTTTATCTTTGTTTTGGCTTCTTGGGCATGGCTTCTCACTACACTTTGTCGATCTGGTGCCTCCTACAGTGAGAAAGTCAAACCCCATGAGAGGTGGATTAAAATAACGCCTTGAAGAGATAGCATTTGAAGTTTGCCTTAAAGGGGTTTGTCGTCTAGGGATGGAGCTGGAGGGTAGGGACATTTTTCCAATCAAAAGAAACAGCATTGGAAATGACGATCTGAATGAAATTAGTAGGATTCTTGGTGTTTCCTGTCTGTCAGGCGCCACTCTGAGTACTTTTCATGTGTAGACTGACTTCTCACCAAACCCCACGGGAGATTTGTTCTTTTGATGGAAATAGTGATTCTCAAAGCGAAGTCCATGCAAAACAATGCATTTTGTGTAGGAAGAAAAGATTAACACTTCTATTTATCTCTTCGTCTCATGTGTTTAAAATACCTATTTCCTTCTTTTTTTGTGATTAGTAATCAACAGACTATATTATCACAGGGTTAAATAAGCGTGTTCAGATGTTTTTTGCTGAGAGAGATGGATGATCTAAAATTTCTTAGAGATTGTGGAGTAGAAACAGTGGTGAGAAAGCACCATACCATTCCCTAAGTCTCCGTGCTGTTAGAGGCAGGATGTCCCGAAGTCCTGGAAGCAATGAGTCCAGACCCTGCCATCAGGGACTCATCTGGTGGGAAGAAGCCACACGAGCAGATGATCCCCCGGGTAGAGCTGTGTGCAGAGAGCTTTCAGAGCTTGGAAAAAAAAGTGGCTCACTCTGCCTGGGGAGCAGTAGTTTTTACTTTTTAGCAGAGACAAAATTTCTTTCAAATGCTTTTTTATCGCTGGTTACTTTTATTGCAGTATATGATGCAGCCTCATATTATCATTTACGTGGGATACTCTTCTGTGTGTGTGTGTCATGAAAAAAGATGTCCCCTCAGACCTGAGGGAAATGGCAGAGGCTGGTTTGGTCTGCTGACAACGTACCGTTTCTGGAGCACGCCCCTGCTTACAGCTCTGCCTCTCCCTAGATTGATTTGCGGCTTCATGTTTACTGTTCCGTGCCCGCGTGCCATCACATGCGACTTCACTGAAGTCTATGAAGAATATAAGCCGTTTTTCTGAGTTTATTTAAAAAAATGAGATTTCATTCTGCATTAGAGTCTCTTTATGTCTCTCTCTTTTTTAAACCTCTGACCTAAAGTCTCACCAGTGAAAGTTGTAAAACTGGAGTTGGGGGTACGAGTAATCACCAGTCCGTGTCTCAATTCTCCTATTGAATGGAAAGAACAGTAGTGTGTACTTCATAGCCGGTTCTGAAGATTAAAGTTTGCTGCATGGTAGATGCTATACAATTGTCAGCTGATAGCATTGTTGTTGTTAAATATGAACTATAAGTGGTGTGCAATTGATCTCTGAATGACAATTGCAGCATGTTTTTAATTCTTTTATGGTGTTGATTTTCTTATGTTTCTTTTACAATTTTGAGTTTTAAGTGTTTTCTTCTCAAGAATCAGCTGTGTGACAGAACAGATCTGCATTTGCAGCTTGACATTATATGCTATTCCAATGGAATAACATAGAATACGAGATTATAAATTCTCAGATCAAATCTTTCTGCTTTGATACTAACATACACATACACACATGTGTCTCCTCTCTCTCTCTCTCTCTCTCTCTCTCTTCGAGGTTTAGATAAAAGAGCTTGACCTTTCTCAGCCTGCTTCAATCATTTCAAAGATGTATAGCATAAGGAAATAACTTTTTTTTTTTTTGCTGTGCTGGAAAGGAAACTGAGGGCCTCACACTTGCTAGACGAGTGCTCTACTGCTGAGCTACACACCCAACCTAAGAAATAGTTATTTATTTATTTATTTTTTGGTACTGGATTTTAAACACAGAGGTGCTTTACCACTGAGCTACATCCGCAGCCTTGCTTTTCTTTCTTTTTCCTGAGACAGGGCCTTGCTGAGTTGCTGAGGCTGGCTTTGAACTTGCAATCCTCCTGCCTCCGCCTCCTGAGTTGCTGGAATCAGGGGCGTGCACCACCACGCCTAGTAGAAATAACTTTTTAAAGACAGAGAATTGACCACTTAGTCAGATTCACCTTTTAATATTCTTTACTTGATTGGCTTCCATTTTTGATCTGGGTTAAATTAATATTCAGGACCTTGGCTTAAATCCCAGTTCTTAGTCACATGTTTCAGTCCGTATTGCTCTTCTCATTCCAAAACTGTTTTGACTGATGATTCTGTGGTGGGGCGTTCTAATGTTTAACTTCTCCCTGTTTGGATTCCTGCCTCCCTGAGGGTGGAGAGCATGCCTTTCTTGCTTTGGTCCTCCCCACAGGACATTGAGAGAGCGAGCGTTTTTAAACTGTTCATCATTATACTTTCGTACTAGCAGCCAGCATTTACCAGAAGACTAGCTGTGGTCAAGGTCACAATTGTTGGTTTCAGGACCTATTTTTTTTTTTTTATCTACCTCTTACTAGTCTGTGGAACCCACAGTTCTGACTTCATAGAACTGAAGTGCACTTCCTTCCATGAGCTTAGAGATGGTGGGTTCCTTCCCTGTTAGAGATTCCTCCTGCCACGCTCTCTGACTGCTCCGAGCTGTTCATTTGTTCATTCAAAAGCGTAATGTGGGGTCCCAAGCTGTGATGGGCTTTGTGGGTCTTCCCCCTAAGATGTGAAGAAGGGAACTTTGCCATCTTGAGGGTTTTCAGTCTCTTTGTTTGACTTACTCCCTACAGTCTTTTCCAAAGACATAATACCTTGATAGCATAATAAACCCACAAGATACAGAGATGGCTATCAATCAAATAAGGGTCCTGACAGTCTCTTGAGCTAAGAAGAAGCTGCAGTACATCTTGGTGCATTTCCCTATTTAATATAGCTTCTCTCAGTCCTCCTCTGTTTTAGAAATCTTACCTGTGTATCCTTTGTGAAAAGACAAAACTGGAGGTTTGTGTAACATCTCCCAGAAGAAGTAGAAAGATCTCCCTTGACAAACTGTAGGTGGAGAGCCCGGCCAGACGGCAGTGAGACGGGTGATCTGAACCTGAGGGGGCTGTGACCATCCTGCCCCATGACTTCTGTGATGCACTGTTTATTTATTTCACTCCTTTAATTAAAAACGAAAATACTTTTGTTTCACTATCATAATTTGTATTTTTATAATGATGATTAGATATGTGGAACATGTTGATTTTTTGCTACTATAAAATATCTCAAAAGGAAAATAACAATGAGACTTTGCTAACCCTTGATGCCTATTGAATTCCTACAAAATGTTCATTCCTAAAATTGGTAAACAATGATTTGAAACAATTTTTAAATGAAAGTTTTAATTGTCTATTCTAGGCACTGATTGTTTCATGAGAAAATGTATGAAAATGTCACACAGAAATCCATTTTTTTTACAGCTCATATATGCCAATAATTGTGATTTTTAAAGAGGAAAAAGAGAACTCTACTCATACTCTTGCAGTACCAAATTCCACGCGAAAGTTTGGTTATAGAAAATGTTTGCCCCGGGCTGGGCGTGATGGTACATACCTATAATCCCAGTGGCTCCGGAGACTGAGGCAGGAGGCTGACAAGTTCAAAGCCAGTTTCAGCAATTTAGCCAAGCCCGCAGCAACTTAGCGAAATCCTTTCTAAAAATACAAAGGGCTGGGGATGCGTCTCAGTGGTTAAGCTCCCGGAGTTCAATCCTTGCTACCAAAAAGAAAGAAAGAAAATGTTTGCCCCTGGCCATATCTGTGTTCTCACATGGGAGAGAGAAAATATTTCATTCAAAGTAAAATGACAACAAATTCTCAGTATATCAAGTTGAAAATTATAAATATCAGGATTTATTAGTCACTGTATAAAAGAAATTGAAAGCATCTCTTAAAGATCTCTGTTTGGGGCCAGGCGCAGTGGCTCACGCCTGTAATCCCAATGGCTTGTGAGGCTGAGGCAGAGGGGGATCTCGAGTTCAATGCCAGCCTCAGTAACAGCAAGGTGCTGAGTAACTCGGTTGAGACCCTGTCTCTAAATGAAATACAGAACAGGGCTGGGATGTGGCTCAGTAGTTGAGTGCCCCTGTATTCAATCCACCCCCCTCAAAAAAAGATCTCTTAGATTTGGGTTAGACCCAGATGCGTGAAACAACAGAGGAGAGCCCTGCAGAACATCATAGTCAAATAAATCCTATGCCTACTCCTGACTTTCATCCTTAGAAAGTGTTAGACAGTGACTCAGGACGCTGAGTCAGGAGGATTGTGAATTCAAAGCCAGCCTCAGCAACTTCAGCCAGCCTTAGCAATTGAGCGAGGCCCTGAGCCACTCAGCAAGACCCTGTCTCTAATAAAATAT